GCGGCGGCAGCTGACGTTCCGGGAGAAGTCGAGGATCATCCAGGAGGTGGAGGAGAACCCGGACCTGCGCAAGGGCGAGATCGCGCGGCGCTTCAACATCCCGCCGTCCACGCTGAGCACCATCCTGAAGAACAAGCGCGCCATCCTGGCGTCGGAGCGCAAGTACGGTGTGGCCTCCACCTGCCGCAAGACCAACAAGCTGTCCCCCTATGACAAGCTCGAGGGCTTGCTCATCGCCTGGTTCCAGCAGATCCGCGCCGCGGGCCTTCCCGTCAAGGGCATCATTCTCAAGGAGAAGGCGCTGCGGATAGCCGAGGAGCTGGGCATGGACGACTTCACTGCCTCCAATGGCTGGCTGGACCGCTTCCGCCGGCGCCACGGCGTGGTGTCCTGCAGCGGTGTCACGCGCGCCAGGGGCCGAAACTCTACCCCCCGGGCCCCGGCGGCACCTGCCAGCCCGGCTGCCGTGCCCCCGGAGGGCAGTGGTGGGAGCGCGCCTCCTTGGCGCGCGCGGGAGGAGCAGCCGCCGTCGGTGGCCGAGGGCTACGCTTCGCAGGACGTGTTCAGCGCCACCGAGACCAGTCTGTGGTACGACTTTCTGCCTGACCAAGCCTCGGGGCTCTGTGGAGGCGATGGAAGGGCGCGCCAAGCCACCCAGCGCCTGAGCGTCTTGCTGTGTGCCAACGCCGACGGCAGCGAAAAGCTGCCCCCGTTGGTGGCCGGCAAGTCAGCCAAGCCCCGTGCAGGCCAAGGCGGCCTACCCTGCGACTACACTGCCAACTCGAAGGGAGGTGTCACCACCCAGGCCCTGGCCAAGTACTTGAAGGCTCTGGACACCCGAATGGCTGCAGAGTCCCGCCGGGTCTTGCTTCTGGCCGGCCGCTTGGCTGCCCAGTCCCTGGACACTTCAGGCCTACGGCATGTGCAGCTGGCCTTCTTCCCTCCGGGCACTGTGCATCCGTTGGAGCGGGGAGTGGTTCAACAAGTGAAGGGCCACTACCGCCAGGCCATGCTGCTGAAGGCCATGGCAGCACTGGAGGGCCAGGATCGCTCAGGCTTGCAGCTAGGCCTCATGGAGGCCCTGCACTTCGTGGCTGCAGCCTGGCAGGCAGTAGAGCCTTCGGACATAGCCACCTGCTTTCGGGAGGCCGGCTTCGGGGGTGGCCCTAATGCCACCATCACCACCTCCCTCAAGAGTGAGGGAGAAGAGGAGGAGGAGGAGGAGGAAGAGGAGGAGGAGGAAGAAGAAGAGGGTGAAGGGGAGGAGGAGGAGGAGGAAGAAGAAGAAGGGGAGGAGGAGGAGGAAGGAGGGGAAGGAGAGGAGTTGGGGGAGGAAGAAGAGGTGGAGGAGGAGGGTGATGCTGATGACAGTGATGAAGAAGAGGAGGAGGAGGAGGAGGAGAGCTCCTCTGAGGGATTGGAGGCTGAGGACTGGGCCCAGGGAGTAGTGGAGGCTGGTGGCAGCTTCGGGGGTTACAGTACCCAGGAGGAGGCCCAGTGCCCTACCCTCCATTTCCTGGAAGGTGGGGAGGACTCTGAGTCAGACAGTGAGGAAGAGGATGAAGATGAGGATGACGAAGATGAAGATGATGAAGATGATGATGATAGTGATGAGGTGCCTGTACCCAGCTTTGGGGAGGCCATGGCTTACTTCGCCATGGTCAAGAGGTACCTGACCTCCTTCCCCATTGATGACCGTGTACAGAGCCACATCCTCCACCTGGAACATGATCTGGTCCACGTGACCAGGAAGAACCACGCCAGGCAGGCAGGAGTTCGGGGTCTTGGACATCAAAGCTGAGCTTCTGAGCATAGCTGCACCTGTGACCCAGATGGGTAGCACCAGCCCAGGGCAGAGAACTCTCTGGGATGGAGCCAGATGGGGGAGCCCCAGGGCCTTTACTAATGCTTCCCCTGGCCTTGACACAGGCGCAGGGGCTGAGGTCTGCCTCACTGCCTGCTTACTGCCTCTTTCTCAGAATCCTCTTTCCTCCCCATTTGCCCCTGGGCTCAGGGGACCAGGTGGGGTGGGTGGGGAGCTGTCTGGTGCTACCACACCATGCCCTCAGTGGAATAGACCACAGCAGCGGCCAGGGGTGGCCCTGGAAGCTCCCGGCCGGAGAGTGCCTCTCCCCCTGCCGTCCACAACCAGGTCTTTGGTGGGGGAACCCCAAAGCCATTCTGGGAAGGGCTTCAGAGCAAGATCCAGCCTAGGCCCCCACAAGGCTGGCAGCCCCCCCACCCCACTCCAGGCCACCTCAAGAAGCACAGTCTAACTTAGGGTGGGCTCCTGAGCCCACCTCTGCCTGCTTTCCACCTCCCCAGTCCCTTTCTCTGGCCCATCTGTGTGATTTCGGCCCTTGGTTTTCTTTCCAGATTGGAGGTTTCCAAGAGGCCCTCCACGGGAGTGACAGTGGCGCCTCCCTCATGGGCAGCTGCAGGCCCCATGCCTCATCCCTCTCTGGCAGGGCCCCATCCTGGGCAGAGGGGCCTGGGGCTGGGCACAGAGTCCGGCCATCCAGCTGCTCCTTTCCCAGTTTGAATTCAATAAATCTGTCCACTCCCCTTTTGTGGGAGTGAACGTTTTAACAGCCAAGGGTGCATCCTTCATGGTCTGGGCTTGCGTCTGACTTTGGGGACATGTCCTTTTCTGGTTCCCTTTGGTCCTTGCGCTGGTGAGACATGGAAGCAAGGGTTGAGAGGGGTGAGGGGCAGAGGGAGTCCTCAACATCCACATCTAAATGTTTATGGAGGATTGGGGAGGAATGGGTCGATTTAAGAAAAGCTAGCCATGCTGGGGTTAGAGAGGAGCTCGGGGTCACTTGACTGGCACAGTGACAGATCCTGCAGTCTGTTGGACTAACTCAGGCAATAGGCACCTGAGGCCTAGGCCCACCAAGGCTGGCTAAAAAGGTCCTTGCAAGAGTGGGTCCAGGATGAAAGGATGTTGAGACAGCTTCTCTGGGTCATGTTAGAGTTTGGAGGAGAGTGGGGTTTGCCTCTGGTGCCTTAACAGGAGCCCTTTAGGCCTTGCAGTGATTAGCAGCTCCAAGCCTGGTGGTCGTTCTTGAGGATCAGTGGCAGGAGGAAGAGAAGTTGCTGAGAAGAGATTGTACCCACAACGGGCTAAGGATGGGTTGGTTGGTAGCTCCCCGTGCAGTGCCCTTCAGCGGCTCCCCAGCTTAAAGCTTAGGACTGCCCTTGGCTAGGCCTGTCTTTTCTTTCAGGCGCCAACACCTCCTTCAGTAACTTTGTTGCTGAGGCCTTTAGGCCCCAGCGCCCCAGCAGCAGCTCTGGGCCCCAAACCGGTTTTCCCACCCTGCCTGAGTCTGGCACATCACTTCTGTAGTTCCTCCCAAACGCTGCCCTGCCACTGCCACTAAGTTCCTCCTCTCCCCACCCTGGAATGTTAGGGGGTGGGGGATATCCAGGTCATCCTTTGTCCCTTGCCTGCTGTGGGTGTGGTCCCTTCCAGACCAGCACAAGAAGGTAGGGTAACTTCCACTCTTGGCCTTCTGCACTTCTGGTACTCAGGGATCCCCTCCAGGCCTTGAAGGCCTTGGAAACAAAGGGACAACAAAAAGGAGCTGGGATTCCCCTTGATATCAACCCCTTCCCCCAATCTGAGCTCTGGAGGTGGAGACCAGAAAGCCTAAAGGAAGCCCAGCCTATCCCTTGGGCCTGCTCGGGAGTAAGGAGGAAGAAGTATAGTGGCCTCTTTAGGTGCCCCTGGCCAACCCAGGTCCCTCACCTCGAGTACCAACAAGGCAGATCACTTCCATGTGTCCCCTGCCAACAAGAGCACCTCTTTTGCTATAGCTGAGATGATCTCATGGATGATTATACCAGCTGAAGCTGATAGGGCCCTTGCTATGAGCCAGGCTCTAATCACTTTAGAAGATACTTGCAGTGCCCCTTGAGAAGTCGTGACAAACAGGCCTAGAGGTTCAGTGGTGTACCCAAAGCCAATTATTAGTCTGTATTGGAACCAAGCTTTCTCCCTAGGTTGATCCTACAAATATCCCATTACTGCTACTCTGTACCTCTTCAGTAAGGAGGGACCCATATTCCTAACCCTGTTAAGGGTAGTACTGTTTTGAAATGGAATAACTTTCTAGTCCATGGTAGAACAGCTCTTTGGAGGGAGCTGAAGGCTATGTCTGCAGGAGCTCTTGTTTGTATCTGTAACCAACTTCCATTCCCCCTTGTTCCCATACAAATACAGGTCTTATGTAAATATTAACATTTTTCTGTTTTGTAATTTCTTTCCCATTACCCTGTTGGGACAAGTAGGTAAGAACCGTTCCCATTTCACAAAGGAGGAAATAGGGCTAAGGAGATAAATAACCTGCCGGAGGTTCTGGCCTTAAACTCTGGTGCTCTCTGTAGGAGTCCAGGTTACATGTTAAATGGCCCAGCAAGACACTGAGATGGGCTATGGCAATGGCAGTGAGGACAGAGCTTTGGGGGAGGGAGTCAGCGAGGAAGCAGTGCCACACAGCATATCCCACAGCCCAGATGGTAGCAGATTATTAACTGGACTGCCAGGTAAAGCTGACAAACAGGGGATGCTGCCTTCATTTAGGACTGACAACTAAAGTGTACAAAAGGGGATCCCAGCCCTGGTGATGCTAGTGTGTGGGTTCAGGAGGCCTAACTAGCTTGGCCATTCCCACACTTGGTCATTGGCTGGTGAGCAGGTGGCATGGGCTCAGAGGTGATGCCTTCTTGGGAAGGAGAGGATGATAAGGACATCTAACTGCTTTTTCAAAGCTGGGGCCTAGGAAAAAGTAGCGCAGGAAAAACTACATCTCCCAGAATCCCCTGCTCCCGGGCGAGTCGCGGTGGTTGCCATGGTTTCAGAAAACAATATGGCTGCTCCCAGGTGGGACGTGTGTCTCCAGGTTAGGGAGACAGAGGAAGTCTGGATTCCCACAGTGGCAAGAAAGGTGGGGTCGTTTGAGGGGTCGTAAGGCTGAGGCTGCAAGCTGCACGGCTGGAACTGCCTGGCCTTGCCAAGGACACAAATGGCTAGCAGCATGGACGAAGAGGCGCTGCACCAGCTGTATTTGTGGGTAGACAACATCCCTCTGTCCCGACCCAAACGAAATCTCACCCGTGACTTCAGCGACGGAGGTGTGCGCGCCCATGTGTTTCTGCATGTTCTGTCTTGTATGTACGTGTGTAAGGGATCTGTGTGTACACTATCTTTTTGTTGGGGTGGGGGGGTTGAGATCTGTCTCCTGGGACTTCAATTTTAGAAGTGTGTGTTTGTATTTTCTGTTTGTATCTGTGTATGAACAGTGTCCGTGAGCAGTCTACATGTTCTAGACTGTGCGTGTGTGGGGTGTGTGTGTGCGTGTGTGTCTACCTCCAGAGACTTTAATTACAGAGATTTTATGTATTTGTGCATCTCTATATATGCTTGTTCATTGCTGTGTGTTCTACATGTCTGTCTTGTAGGAGTCTGAGAATGAGTGTGCTCATATGTGTGTTGACACCTTTTGTTCTGAATGTGTTGGGGGGGTCTTGTGTACATATGTGTTTCTTTAGGCTTCTGTTACAGGCATGTGTCCTAGGAGTTCAGTCACAAAAGTATGCTTTCTTTCATTTCTTTATGTGTATATTTGAGGAGGCTGCGTGCATGCCTATGTGAGTCTGTGCTTGTGTGTATGTGTTCTACATATGCACCTATGTGTGTCTGTCATATGCTTGTCCTGCATGTCTGCACATTGTACCCTGTGTGTACATCTGTAGAGGAATATTATCGTGTCTCTGCTTGTGTGTCTGTGACTCCTGGGACTTTAATGTTAGTGCGTGTGTGCATCCATATGAATTCCTAGGGTGGGGCTCCAGGATCCAGAAAGGCTCTCTTGGAGACTCATCTCAGTTTTTGTATGCCTTGAATTAATGGGGAAGGGAAGTACCCCCGCTAGGTTATGCCGGATCTTAGTCTGATCACTGATCTCATGTTCTCTGTCTCTTCAATCATCCTCCCTTCTGCTACACCTCCACCTCTCCGTTGGTTGCACCGCTGTGCTGCATCTCCCACCTGCTTGCCTCTTCTTCCATCTTCACCCTTGACCCTCCACATCTGCTCCCACCTCCCCTCCCTCAGTCCTGGTTGCAGAGATCATCAAGTTTTACTTCCCCAAGATGGTGGAGATGCACAATTATGTCCCCGCCAACTCCCTCCAGCAGAAGCTCAGCAACTGGGGTCACCTGAACAGGTAATAGAATATCCAGGAGGGGGAGCCTGGGTTTCCAGGAAGGGCTGCCCCAGCCACTTCAGCTCCTATGGTCTTGACACCCAAGCTGGAACAGTGTTGGTGGCAAGGTAGGAGGGCCAATAAACAGAATCCATTTGGTAACAAAATCAAGGAACTCTTCTGCTGGGGAGGAGACAAGGAACCTCGGGATATCCAAGCAGGAGAACTTGGATTCCTACCTTTCCACTCCCCAGTGGCTCAGGACCAGACCCCTTTCCTTTTGGCCCCCATCTTCACTTCATTCCCTGTAGGATCCTGTCTGCCACTCCTGTGTCTACCCCGTAGGAAGGTGCTGAACAAGCTGAACATCTCAGTACCAGATGACGTGATGCGCAAGATCGCACAGTGTGTCCCAGGCGTGGTGGAATTGGTGCTTATCCCACTGAGGCAGCGCCTAGAGGAGCGGCAGAAGCGCAGGAAGCAGGGCACTGGCTCCTTACAGGTACCACTGGGCTCCATCCTGCCCCTGCCCTGCAGGGCTTCCCAGGCATCAGAAAGCCTGGCCTTGGTGATGAGTGTGGGCTAGGGTGCCTGGCCAAGAGAACCTGGCCTGGGGGGACTGTGGAAAGGATGTGGGGCTCCTTGGGGATGGGCAATCCCAGACTCACAGTGCACCACGGGGGTTCTTTCAGGACCTGGCTCCTCAGGATGGCAGTGACTACATGGATGTGGGTAAGCCTTTCCCCGTCTCCGTCCCAGGACAAGCTTTCCTCTTGGCCTTCTTTGCTGGAGAATGGGATTCCAATAAGGTCACTTCACCACTTGCCTTGCCTTAGGTCTGTCCCAAAAGGCCCGAGTAGAAGGTGACCCCCAGGGAGGAGGCCAGCTCAGGTAAAGAAGCTGGGAGTTCCTGACCTTGCCAGGCTTGGTAATCTCCCAGTGCAGGCTGGGGGCAGGTGGGGCTGGCTGCACCTGAGAAGATGCAGAGGAGGGACAGGAGAGTAGCGGAGGAAGAAAGGCCTGGCTGAGGGCGCTGGAAGCGGGGCTGGGGTAGTGGTGGGTTTCTAGGCCTCTCTTAAGCTGCTTTGCACCACAGAGGGGGCCGGCAGCCGGTGCCCCGGCCTCCTGTGTATAACCAGGCCCAGCACAGTGACCCAAGCTTCGTGCTCCAGATTGCCGAAAAGGAGCAGGAGCTGCTGGCTTCCCAGGAGACTGTGCAGGTGAGGGTGTACTGGGAGGCTTAGGGGTCTGGGGGCTGTGGTCTAGGGGCATCGCAGCAGGCCACAGGACGTGACGTTTGTGCTGCACTGCCCAGGTCCTGCAGATGAAGGTGAGGCGCCTGGAGCATTTGCTCCAGCTCAAGAACGTGCGCATAGAGGACCTGTCCCGGCGGCTCCAACAGGCCGAGCGCAAGCAGCGGTGAGCCCTGTCTGCAAGACAAAGCTACCTACCTGCAGACTCAGCGCTGGGAGGGTGGAGCCAACACTCTCCCCAGCCCCCCCCACCCCCGCTTCACCTGCTCAGCAACTCCCTCCCTGGGGATTGGGCTGCCTCCTATACTCCATCCAGGCCTGGAGAACCGACCGCTTGCCCAGAGCCTTGCCTTGGAGCTCCCTGGGCCTTTGGAGGTGGTCCCCTGGCTCTGTCCACATCCCTAGTTTAGATGCCTACCCAGCTCTGGGGACAGTGAGGTCTCTATCCAGGTTAGTTCTGCCCTTGGCAGTGCAGGAAGCTGCCCTTGGAAGCCAAGGGGCTCATCTGGGACCAGTCTCAAGGATGGAAACCACAGCAGCTGGAAAGGAATAGGTGAAGAATAGCAGCAGGCAGGAACAGGGGACATAGCTGCTGTGCCCACAGCCGTGGCCCTCCCCACCCCATGGGGTACTGTTGGGAGTGCCTGGGGAATGTGGGACAGAGTGGTCCCTAGTAAAGGTGGCAGTGTGCTTTCTTTCCTGTGCCTGCCTCCTCTTTGTACCTGAATCCTGGAAGGAAACGGGTTCCTGCCCCGTTTGTCATCTAACCCTTATCCCCTTGGCTGAAAGAGCCTGGTTGGCTCAGAATGGGTCTCATCTTGTGGGTGGTAGGTCTGTGTGCCCGATGCTTTGTGGACTGATAGTATCTCAGGGCTCCAGTTCTGTGAACTTGACTCCTGACCCTGGTTTAGATTGCACCCAAAGCCACCTGCACAGTCCAAACCCAAGCTTCAGATTCTCCTCAACAGTGCCACACGCTTGCCCTCAACCCTGCCCATGGTCTGACACTTGAACTTGACCTGTATGACTCCCAACCCTGCCCACACACTGTTCTATGGGCCGAGGCCAAGCTTTCCTCCCAATGTTGACCAGGACATTATGGTCACAACTTAGATGATCTTCATGCTTATGATTTGCTGACTACCAGTAATGCTGAATATTTGTACATCGGAGATCCAGTAATTCCATTCCTAGGCATACACACCAGAAAACTTAATCTCTGTGTTCTGAGAAACAGTTTACAGCAGTGGTCATAGAAATACCCTTTGTAATAGCAAAAGAACTAAAAAGGACCTATTTTAGTTAGCTAATGCTATGTAACAAATTACTATCAATTTAGAAGAGTGCTTATTATCTCAGGCTGGCTTCTCTGGGGCCTCTGCTTCAGGGTTTTGACCGCAGCTGCACTGAAGTGTCAGCCAGAACTGTGGTCCTATCTGCAGGGACAGCCGGGGAAGGAGTCACGTGCACGTTCATTGGTGACAGGATCTGGTTGCTGGTGGGCTGTTTGTTGGGCTTCAGTGTTTTGCCGGTTGTTGGTCGGTAGCAGTTCTCATTTCCTTGCTACATGGGCACCTCCAGTGTAGTAGCTTACTTCACCAGAGCCAGTGAGGATACAGTAAAGAGTGTATGGTGGCATAGACCGGTAATCCCAGCACTCTGGGAGGCTGAAGCAGGAAGTTGCACGTTTGAGCCAGACTGTGCAGTACAGTGACTTAGACCTTATCTCAAAATAAAAAAAAAAAAAAAATTAAAAAGGGGTGGGAATGTAGCTCAGTGTAAAGACCCTGGGTTCAATCCCCAGGTTATAAAACAAAAAAGGAAAGGGTCAGGGAGATAGCTCAGTGGCACAGCGCCCGCCTCACAAGCATGAGGTCTTGAGTTCAATTCCTGTTACAAAAAAAAAAAAAAAAGGAAAGAAAAAGAGGGGGAGGGTAGCAAGATAAAAGATGCAGTTTACTGTAATCATGCAAGTGACACTCTCATATTTGCTAAATTCTGTTTACAAGAAGCAAGCCACAAGGTCAGCCCACATTTAAGAGGGTATACATGGGTATGACTGTCAGGATCCATTGTTCCTCTTTGTGGTAATGAAAAGATAAAAATCAAAGATACCGATTACCTCTGAGAGGAAGGGTGGAGAGCTGCAAGAAGCACCTGAGTTGGTGTAAATTATTTATAATTGTTTAGCTCTTTTTTTTTTTTTTTTTTTTT